GAGCAAGAGATATGTTCGATGAGAAATCAATCACAGAATTTTGGCCCTTGATGTGCGATTCCTACCCAAAAGTGGCAGAAAGAGCTATCCGTGCATTGCTTCCGTTTGTGTCGACATATCTTTGTGAGTCAGGCTTTTAAACTCTGTTGCAAATTAAAACGAAGCAACGTAGTAGATTAGAGGTAGAAAATGACCTGCGTTGTGCCCTTTCAAGCGCTCCTCCGCGTATCCCAGAATTGGCGAAGAAAAAACAATCACAGGTATCCTGGTATTCTATTGAACTTTTTGTTTATTGCATTATGCTTCAGTTTGGTCTGTTAAGTAATTCATTATAAATATAAAAAATACTATTTTACTTTTATTCAAGTTTTATAAATCCATCAACATTTTCAATTGGCATTTAATTTGTAAAACTCCACTATAAAAATAATCCATGTAAAATTGTAAATGTATATGTACTAATATGGAAAAAATAAAGGATTTTCAGTATTATATGCATATTATTTGGAATGCACTTTTTGAGGCAGACAATCTAGGAAAGGAGGGGGGGAATGACATTCTGACATATGGTGAAAGGGGTGCATGGGGCAAACAAGGTTGAGAACCACTGCTTTACACCTTGCTTTGCTAAGTCTAGAGATTCCCTTAGCCACTTGCACAGTTTACAACTCCTCTTTATTCTTCAAAATCGTACACATAGTCGATTTAGCCATCCCATACTCATCACTAAGTTTCGCAATGCTTGTTCCATCCTCACGTTTCTTTATGATTTCTTTCTTAGTTTCAAGAGTTGTGAGCTTTCTCACTCGCTTTGGACGATTCATTGGCACAATTGCACACTTGTATAACAAAATATTTATACAAATAACTTTATTTCCACATCAAAAGACGAAATTTCAACAATAACAGTGGTGCACTGGCTACACAATGAGACAAAGATGGCGCCTGACGCTCTTGTTGTGGGTCGCGGTACAACAATATTCATGCGCCAGGCGAAATAGTCCCGTATTCATCCGCGTTCGTTGTAGGAGTTGCGTTCGTTATAGCATTCTCAATTTTATAGGTAAAACCGTTCGTTATAGAAATATTCGTAGTAGAATCCGTTCGTTATAGCATACCCCACTGTATTTATCTTATTTTACCCAATTAGATCGTATATAAAAACTGCAAGAGGATTAGCTACCATCTTTAGGGTAACCTGCAGAGTCCTACCACTCCTACTATACAACAAGGTAAGTGCACCTATTTTCAAATTTATAATGCTACTAACACAGGACCTATTTCAATTAATTATATTAGTGCATCTATTTTCACCACTTGAAAGATACATGCCAAGGTGACCTATTCTCACACCCGAGATTACATAAGTGACCGCTCACCACCCTATAACACACAACAGCAGTGATTCATTCTCACCACTTATACAAGTACAACAAGGTGACCCATTTCACCATCTGGCATACACATATAATTGGATCAATTGGAGAATACTTACAGCAGACCCATTCTCACCCACCCATACTACAATAAGGTAATTCCATTCTACCAATTCAAAGTATAATTACAAACAAGGTGACCCATTCACCACCCTAGAGCCACATACAAGGTGACCCATTTCACCCTATACTGTATACAACACAGACCCATTCTCACCCAATTCTATATTTGCCACAAGGTAATCCATTCACCACCACCCTATAACACACAAACAAGGACCCATTCTCACCACCTCATACTAATACCATAGTAGACCGACTCACCCACCTTGCACACACAACAGTAGACCCATTCTCACCTAATTCTATACCAATAATGCCAAGGTGAATTACTCTACCCCACTCATACCATATGTGGACCGATTCACCACCCTATACCACACAACAAGGTAATCTGGCCTCACCACCTTTATACTACACAACAAGGTGACCCATTCTCAACACCCTATACCACACAAAACAAGGTGACCCATTCTCACCAATCTCTATACCACACAACAAGCAGACCTTATTCAATGTAATCTGAGTACTATACAGTGATTCACCACCAATTCTATAACACACACAACAAGGTGACCTATTCTACCACCCTTATACTTACACAACAGTAGACTCATTCTTTACCACCTAAGGCCACACAAATACAAGTAATTGGCTCAACAATCTTATACTCTGTAATAATTGGGCTGCACCTACTGCACGTACCCTAGAAGTGCCACAAGGTAATCTATTCTCACCACCTGAGAGACACACACAAATACAGGACTTATTCTCACCATCTTATACTATACAATGGTGCACTGGCCTCACTAATTCGATATTGCTTATGCACCTGGCTTCACTGCACTTATACTCATACAACAAGGTGACCCATTCTCACTAATCTCTTTATAATTAGTTAAATAAGGTGGACCATTCTCACCAATTCTTGAGGCTTTTGCATTCTATTTCACCACCTGATATACACAAATACAGGACCATTCTCACCAATTCATAATCATTATTGAAATAAGGTAATCTATTCATCACCACCCTATACTCAAGGTGACCACCCTATAATGAAGGCACAACAAGGTAGAATCTATTTTACCACCCTATAACACATGCCAAATAAGGTGACCATCTTATATTGGCACAAATAAGGTAATCTACCATCACCCCTATACTATACAACAAGGTGACCTATCTACCATTCCTATATTTATAACGAAATATGGGTGGACTCTATTCTCAACAATCCTTGAGCACTCAACATATAAAATCTGGCCTCACCACCCTATACTCTCACACAAATAAGGACTACCACCCTATACAGTGTCACAGACCATTCTCTACCCAATCTCTTATACCACACACAACAGCAGAATCGGCTCACCCTATACCACACAAATACAGACCATTCACCAAATCTCCTATACCATGTGACCTGTATTCACCAATTTATACCACACAAGCAGACCCATTCACCACACCCTATACCACACAAATAAGGACTGCATTCCTTCAATCTTATACTATGAATAAGGCATCACCACCAATTCCTATACCATTATAAATATGGTGAATTCATTCTCACCTAATCTTATGCATTTCATACAACAAGGTAATTGGCCCACCCTATATTTTGCGCTAAAAATCTATCTTCACCAATTTATACTAATAAATACAGACCCATTTTCACCAATTTATACTATACAAACAGTGTGACCATTCTCATCAATTCGGTGCACTATGACAACAAGGCTAATCATCTTTACCACCTGGCACCAAGGTTAAAGGTAAGACCCATTTCTATCATTCTAGTATCACAATAAAATCTTAGCCTCACCACCCGAGTATTGAGGCTGAAAATAAGTAATCATTCTCACCAATTCTTGAGATGAGGGCTAAAGCAGCAGTAGACCCATTCACCACCTATACTACGTACAACAAGGTAATCTACTCACTAATTCTATACCACACAACAAGGCGACCCATTCACCACTGAGGTCGCTAAAGACCATTCACACCTGAGCTGCGCTAACAAGGTGACTACCTCCACACCCCTTGCATATACAACAAGCAGGACCTATTCTCACTCACCCTATAGCCATACAGGACCCATTCTGATACTACACAATGGCGGAATCGATTTCAAATTTCCACTGCACAAGTAACAGTGTAATCATTTCACCCCACACAACAAGGACGTATTCACACTTATACCACATATAATCCATTTCAATTCTATACTCACATAAATAAGCAGCATCTCATTCTACCACCTATAATACACAACAAAGATCTAGACACCAATTTGAATATACAACAAGGTGACCTGTATTCTCACTTGTTCTTGAGTATTTATACAAATAAGGTAACTATTCCTCACCAATTTATACTAATAAGGACTTCACTCACCACCTCTATACTACACAACAAAGTGACCCATTCTCACCAATTTATACCAATATGGCACCCATTCTATCAAATTTGAGGCGCTTAAACAAGGTAACTGATTCTCACACTTTATGCTCAATATTACAGACCCACTTTACCAATTGGCACATCATTGCATTATCAAGGTGACTTATTTCACCACTCCCACCTGATCCATCACCAATTCTTTATACTATAAATATGTAATTAGCTCTTTACCACTTTATACTATGGCACTATTTCACCACTGAGGCTGCAATACAAGTGAACAGCCTCACCACCTCGATATTACACAATCAAGGCACCCTGCATTCTCACCACCCTGCACGCCAAGTGACCCATTCTCACCAATTCTATACTCACAACAAGGGACTTGATGTATAATCATCACCATACTGGTGACTGATTCTCACCACCCTATACTACACAGATCTGGCCTCATCACCCTATAATACACACAGACCACTACCACCCTATATCATTGGCCAACAAGAGGACCATTTCACCAATCTTTAGGGCTATGTTAAGGCATTCTGGTTTCACCACCTGCATTACAACAAGGTAATCTATTCTACTCACCAGCCAAAAGGTGTAATCATTCTCACCAATTTTATACAACAAGGTGGACTACCTCACTGTGTTCTGCATTGTT